TGAGTTTCCAATAGATTTGGTCCTTATTGTGATGGGGGATGTCTGTGTCATCGTGGGCATGGACTGGTTTAGTAGATTTGGAGCTATCATCGACTGCGAGCGACAGCTGGTGACCATGCGAGACCCTAGTGGGGGAGTTCTTACGGTGTACGGCGAGGGTACATGTTCCGGTTCAACGTTTTGCTCAGCCGCCAGGGCGAGGCAGAGTCTTCAGCAGGTATGTAAGGGATTCATAGCATATGTTATGGACACGAGGGTTGAGTCGGAGAAACCGAGGTCTGTGGGAGAGGTTCCGATACTGCGTGAGCTCCCGGATGTATTTCCGCAGGAGTTGCTGGGTGTACCTCCTGTGAGACAGGTGGAGTTCAGTATCGATTTGGTTTCGGGGGCCGCACCTATCGCCAAGGCGCCCTATCGCCTTGCACCTCCAAAGATGCAGGAGTTATCCTCGCAGCTGCAGGAGCTGCTGGGAAAGGGGTTTATCCGGCCGAGTAGTTCACCGTGGGGAGCTCCTATCCTTTTTGTCAAGAAAAAGGATGGCTCACACCGAATGTGCATTGACTACCGGGAGTTGAACAAATTGACGATCAAGAACCGTTACCCGTTGCCAAGGATTGACGATTTGTTCGATCAGTTGCAGGGAGTGACTTGGTTTTCCAAGATCGACTTGAGGTCTAGATATCATCAGGTGAGGGTGCGAGATGAGGATATTCAGAAGACAGCATTTAGGACTCGTTACGGGCATTACGAGTTCATGGTGATGCCTTTCGGGCTCACCAACGCACCAACGGTGTTCATGGACCTCATTAACAGGGTGTGCAGACCGATGTTGGATCGCTCGGTAATCGTATTCATCGACGACATTTTGGTGTATTCGAGATCTAGAGAGCAGCACGAGGAGCATCTGAGGGAGATCCTAGGGATTTTGAGATCGGAGAGGATTTATGCCAAGTTCTCCAAGTGTGATTTCTGGTTACGAGAGGTTCAGTTCCTGGGACATCTCGTTAACCAGAAAGGGATATTGGTCGACCCCGCCAAAATTGAGGCGGTGATGAGTTGGGAGGTGCCGAGGTCGCCCATGGAGATCAAGAGTTTTCTAGGGCTGGCAGGCTATTATCGGAGATTCATCAGGGATTTCTCCAAGATCGTCGTGCCACTCACCAAGTTGACCTGGAAGCGTGTAGTTTTTGCTTGGGGTTTAGAGCAGCAGGCCTCCTTCGAGACACTTCACCATAGATTATGCGAAGCCCCGGTGTTAGCCCTTCCGAAGGGAATGGGGGATTTTTTGGTATATTGTGGCGCGTCGATATCAGGCTTGGGAGCAGTACTTATGCAGAGGGGTCATGTGATAGTGTATGCATCGAGGCAGCTGAAGCCTCATGAGGCGAAGTATCCTACCCATGATTTGGAGTTGGGGGCATTGGTGTTCTCCCTCAAGATTTGGCGTCACTATTTATATGGGGTCCGGTGTATCATATACATGGATCACATAATCCTGAAGTACTTGATGGATCATCCCAACCTGAATATGCGACAGAGGAGGTAGATGGATGTGGTAAAGGATTATGACTGCGAGATCCTATACCACCCGGGAAAAGCCAACGTGGTGGCCGATGCCTTGAGTCGTAGGGCGGAGAGTGTTCCGATGCGTGACATTTGTATGAGGTTGACCGTGATGACTCCGGTGTTGGACACCATTCGAGGAGCTCAGATGGAGGCCGTTAGGCCCGAAAATCAGAAGAGAGAGCGGGTTGTTGGGCAAGTATCGGAGTTCGTCACCGATGGTCGGGGGCTTATGACATTTCAGGGTCGAATCTGGGTACCGCATGTGGACGGAACGCGTACCATTTTGATGGAAGAGGCTCATCGATCGAAGTTCTCGATCCATCCCGGGACCTCTAAGATGTTTTTGGATCCAAAAAGGGAGTATTGGTGGCCCTGTATGAAGAGGGACATTGCGTGGTTCGTGAAGAGGTGCCTAACCTATCGACGGGTTAAGTCCGAGCATCAGAGACCGCATGGCAAGTTGCAGCCATTAGAGATTCCCGAGTGGAAGTGGGAACACATTGCCATGGACTTTATCACCAAATTGCCAAGGACCGCAAGGGGCGTCGATGCAATTTGGGTGATTGTAGACCGGTTGACAAAGAGCGCTTGTTTCCTCGCTATTAGTGAGAGCTCTTCCGAGGAGAGGTTGGCAGGGATATATGTGAGGGAAGTGGTAGCACGGCATGGAGTACCAATCTCGATTGTCTCAGACTGAGATGTGTGTTTCACCTCTTGATTCTGGAAGAAATTCCATGAGGAGTTGGGTACTAGACTGCATTTCAGTACCGGATACCACCCCCAGACTAACAGACAGAGTGAACGGACGATTCAGACGCTCGAGGATATGCTCTGGGCATGTGTGTTGGATTTCGGTGGTAGTTGGGATACGTACTTACCCTTGGTAGAATTTTCTTTCAACAACAACAATCATTCAAGCATTGGTATGACACCCTTTGAGCTGTTGTATGGGAGGAGGTGTCGGACCCCCATTTGTTGGGGAGAAGTGGGGCAACGTGTAATGGGTAGTACAGAGCTTGTGCTTCAGACGATAGAGCAGATACAGCAGGTCAGGCAGAGATTGTTGACCGCTCAGAGTCGCCATAAGAGTTATGCTGATAGGCGACGATCTGAGTTCGAATTTCAGGTTGATGATTTGGTGCTTCTGAAGGTATCTCCTTGGAAAGGAGTGATCGTGAGGGTGGGCAGGGTAGCGTATCGCTTGGAGCTACCTGCAGAGTTGGATCAGATTCATGAAACTTTCCACGTATCGCAGTTACGGAAGTGTATAGCAGATGAGTCGTAAGTGGTGCCATTGTAAGACATTCAAGTGGATGCGAGCCTGAACTATGCTGAGAGACCGGTGGCGATCAGGGATTGGAAGATCAAGGTTTTGAGGAATAAGGAAGTGCCTTTGGTTTTGGTTCAGTGGCAACATCGGAAGGGGTCCGAGCTGACTTGGGAGCCGGAGCGTGAGATGCGTGAGCAGCATCCAGAGTTATTTCCAGAGTGAGACTTCGAGGGCGATGTCCGATTCTAGTGGGGGAGAATTGTAATAGTCGGGTTTCCAGGTATATAATTTTATTTATTTTTTTGGAATTATGAGAAGGAACTCGATGAGTTGATGCGTAGACTCGCTGAGTAGGGTCATGATTGCTCATCCGGATTCACTTCAGACTCGGCGAGTCCATGAGTGGACTCGACGAGTCCACGCTTTTCAATGAAACCCTAAATCCCCGGGTTTGGAGCCTATTTAAGGGTACTTATAGCCTCTCATTGCGGCTACCAATCCCTTGAGAGAACCTTGAGTGAGCCAGATCGTTGTGATGAAGAAGAAGTCACTTTTGACCCTTGTATCTTTGGTTTGGAAAGAAGGAGGCGCACAAGAGCAAAGGGGAGGTGCAATTCTAGCAATTCCAGAGATTCAAAGTCTTCATTTTGAGGTAATAGTTCGAACCTCCTTCAGTTTGGTGTTGATTATTAGACTTAGGGTTTTCTAAACCATTTGGAGAGTGATTATGTGGAGCAAATGGTCCCTCTTCGAGTTTGTGCCTTGGATCTGGACTCAATGAGGTCCAGAGACCTAAACCCTTGGAGCTTTTTGGATCAGTTTGGGGTGATTGGACTTAGGTTGCCATTTTTGGGACTAAATCTCCTTTTGATGCCTTGTTGTTGTTATACACGCATCAAGTTTCGAGCGTACGTGACATTCATGCTTGGGAAGGCCAGATCTTTCATTTAAGAAAACAGATCTGACCTCAGGAGGCCAGTAGAGTTTGTGCATGGCATGAACTCGCCGAGTTGTTCCTGAGACTCGGCGAGTAGAGTTAGGGTTTCACATAAAATGCTCAGTGAGTGGACTTGCTGAGTTGGGGGATGACTCAGTGAGTCAGAAGGGGGTTAGAGGACTGGAGTTCAAGGCGGTACTCGCCGAGTTGTTCTTGAGACTTGGCGAGTTGAGTCGTGGTGGCCACACGATTCATGCCTAGTATGACTTGTCAAGCATAGGGAGGGACTCGACGTGCAAAGTGGGACAAAGTGTTAAAGAGCATGTGTGAACTAGCCGAGTCACCAGGGTGCACACGGCGAGTAGGGTCAAAGTGTGACCATTGACTTTTCGGGTTTGGTCAATGGAATACTTGTGTCGGGAGGGGGGGGAAATAGCCTCTTTCCTTCCCGAGGGTTCCAATGGCAGGTTGAGTCTAGTCTCGAGAGTTATACTTATAAGAGTATTTACCTTATGTGAATAGGCGAAGACTAGGTAATATTTCTACCGAGTCATAGATTTACCGAGACGCCTGAGGTGAGTCTTCTCACTATACTTTACCTAGTGTGGTAACAGAGTTATGTGATAGAGTATTTTTAGAGTTATATGCCAGTGTAATTGCATGTTATTTATGTGATATGATTTATTGTAATATGTGCTATGTATGATTCATAGTTACAGAGTTTGGACCTTCGGGTCCACAGAGTTAGGACCTTCGGGTCCACAGAGTTAGGGCAAGAGGGCCCATAGAGAGTTGGGGCTGGAGGGCCCCACTGAGACACATAGACCTGAGGGTCAATAGAGTTACAGCCTCGAGTGGCTATTATGTGTTAGAGTGGTATTTTGGGGAACTCACTAAGCGTTTATGCTTACAGTGTTCTGTGTTATGTGTTTCAGGTACCAGTGATGATCGCGGGAAGGCACTGGCATGATTCGTACACACGCATACCGAATTATATATATATATATATATATATATATATATATATATATATCTTGATCTTGGGTTTTGTGTTGATACAATGTTGATACAATGTCTTGTTTATATTTTCAAATGATATTTTATGGGTTACAAAGTGAAAATTTTATTCAAATTTTTACGGTGTTACATGTCACTCGAAAAGGGGTTGTCATTCATGATGTTTAAGCCCCAGTTTCTCCTTCATCCAAGAAATGAAGGGCTGGAGATATGGCAAAACATATTTCCAAGAAAATTAAAAAGAGAAAGTTGGTTCTTCAAAAGGTATCCTCAGAAGAAGAAGAAGTTCCTAAAACTCTAGAATCTATTCTTTCTATGAAAAAATCGACTCCTAAGCAGACTCCGGTCATACCACCCGAGGTTTCGTTAACCAAGTCATCTGATGAGGAGGTTCGAACCTCAGGCATTATTACACACGTATCTGATAAGGATGTAAATGTCACTATGGGTGAAGGAGATCTGAATAAAGAACCTCCAGTAACAACTCAAGGCATTATCGAAACTTCGACCATCAATACTCTTGTTTCGTTACCACCATTTATAATTTATATAATTTCAATCTCATCTTCACTAACTTTTGGCCATATCATTATTCAACCCATCACTTCTTTATTTTCTTCGCAATCCACTGTTCCACCCAAATCTATCAATGATACTGACACTGATGATGGAGAGTTTGGAGGTACTTTTGCTAGTATTGAATTCGATCCAGAAGAAGAAGACATTCCCAGATCATATGTTAATGTCAGGGAAGCAATTCATGATTCTAAACAAAAAGCTTAATTCTATTCTTCAATATCAATCCGATGCAGGGGGTAGGAATTTTGTTTCAAGTATCGAAGTTGATGTGACGCTCAAAGCACAAGAAATTCGATTATTCAATAAAGTAATTGGCTTGATTCAAGAGTCTGAATCTCGAATTCAAGGAAAGATGGATGATAATGATAAAAATAATGAGTTACGAGTAAAGTCACAGTCTTCGACTTTCAATGAGGAACTCAGGGATCTCAAATGTGTTGCGAAAGAATGCGATGTATTATTCACTTAAGATGTTAAAAAGGTTCGGGAGGATGTGAATTTTAAAATTCAAGAACTTTGAGAAGATATGATTAAAGATATTGTGGTTGTGCAACAAGATTATGCCTCTCTTGATAAGAAAATTGACATCATTGCAGAAGCAGTGACAAAAATTGTCAAATTATATGAAGCTCTGGGTCCTAAGATTGATCAAATTTCCACACATGAAGTCCAAAGCTTTTCTGAAATCACGAAACTGTTGAATGAATTAAAAGCACTTGTCTCAAAGCCTGGATCCTCTCCTTTGATCACACCAGAATTTTTGTCTAAAAAATTTCTCTTATTTGAATCTGTTCTTCACAAATTGTTATTACCGTTGTCTCAAATTGTAAGTCTCCTACCAATGAATGCCTTGCCTATTGTTACAGGGGTGCAAGGGGGAGAATAGGTAAATGTTGGTAAAGGAGAAGGTGCATCTGATGTTACAAATGAAGAAGCAAAGATTGTTGGCATGGTGTACACAACCCACATTCCTACATCAAAACCAATTGTTTCTAAAGTTGAGCCAGTAATCCCACTGTTGTTACTACAAGGCCAAACAATGGCATTGTAATTGGTTTAACTGGTGAAGGGGGAAGTGGTTCAAAACCAAAGGAAACTTCAATAAATCAAGACAGCGGAAAGAAGGTTCTTATTGAAAAATCTAAAGAAGAAAGGAAGGCGGAGGTTGAGGCTAAGACAGAAAAACAGAGGCAGATTCAAAGCATTCTGAGGCTTCGAAAAAATGATCCTCCTCATTTGAATAAGGGAGACCCAATTAAGTTGCACAGTTATGAAAATATCGAAGCTAGGGAGGCATTCAATGAAATGTATGAATTCGAAAAGAAGCCCAGGAAGAGTTATGCCATTGAGAATTAAGATTTGAATCAACTTGATTTTCCTATCAATAAGATGATGTTTCTTATTGCACAATATAAGGTGGTTGACAGATTCTATAACAAAGAGGATTTTATACACATGAAATTAAGGATTCATGCAGTCTTGGGAAAGGAACAAAAAGAAGTTTGGTCCTTAGTGAAAATAATTCAAGTGCTCAGCATATCGAAAGGTGAACTTTTCGAAAATATGTTACAAAATTTTCAATATCATGTCGTGAGAGAAAACAAGGTTCCTTTCGAGTTTTCAATTGATGATTTGCCTTTGATGGAATTGAATGATTTGATTCAAGTTGCATATATACTCAAGGACACTGATGCTTCAAAACTTCAAAATACCAGCAAAGATGTGTTACAGTATGGGTTTGGTCACATCAAACTCTTCATAGACAATTATTATGATTGTCTAGCATTGAATGATGTTGAATTGGCAGCTTCAATAGTAAAAGAAGTAACTATTCCTTAAGATAAGTCTTTAAGTGAAGCTGAGTTGAAGAAATATGTGGATGGTGAAATCTGTTTGAAGCCATTTGGTTTAGTTTTTTCTAGGAAAAGTAAGAAGGGAAATCCATTAAAGTTCTTTTTCCAAACAAGTGAAATTGACAGATATACAACTGCTCATTATACAAACTTAATTGTGCGTATGAATAGTTGTAAGTAGAACAACGATGGAGATAAATTTGAACTAAAGAAAGTAATGAATTGGTATGTTGCGATTCAAAGAACATGACACATGGCTGCTCAACTTTTGATTAACTTATTTTGAAATTGTGTACAAAGGGGGAGATTGTTATGGTCGAAGTTGTGTTGTAAGATGTTGAAATGTAATGTTATTTTACAAAGGCATTTTATGTCGAAACTTAAAGTCAAGTCCTTTGTATTTTTTGTATGATTTAATGTTTTCCTATAAATAAGGATGTTACTTAGAGTTAGATAAGAACTTTTTTGAATATATCTTGTCTATTTTTCTCTCTGTAACCTTGAAGCATAATATGAGCTGAAACAAGATCTTATTTACTCTTTGTGTTCATAATTCTCATTATTTTGATTTATTTTTCATTTATTGATTCAATACTTCATCAAGTTTGTAGAAGTAATTACCAACAAGAAAAAAATCACTTAGATGATGAAGTTATTTAAAGAACTACACCCTTGTTCTTGAGAGAGTTTGAAAATGGATAGACTATCAGGGAGGAAGTGAGAGGAGAGAACAAAGTGCAAATGAATTGAACATGTCTCCAATTCGTGGGTTATAAGATGTAGAAGTGGCATGAATGCATTCTAGGTATTATGATATTTGCATTGTAATTCGGTGGATAATAAGAGGTAAGGCCAACTTGTGTTTTCAATGCACCTTTTATGTATTGATATCAAATAAAAAATTATATCCCACTGAAAAGTCTTTGATTTTGACCGAACACATATTAATTTAATCAACGTATGGCCGATTTTAGTTTCCCAGGACAACTTTACGTACTGGAAATATATTAATCAAATGATATCTCACTGGAAAGTCCTTGAATTGACCGAACACATAATAAATATCCCAAGCATGACCGACTTTATCCCAATTAAAATAGAATTCAGTTTCACAACTTTGGAAACGACTGGTCTATATGTGTTGATAATAGAGAATTCGGTCCATATATATGTATATATATTAGAAATTTGGTATCTTGTTGGGCTTATATGGAGAATTCGGTCTTGTAAGGCCCATTTCATGGGGAATTCGGGTTTGTGAAGGCCCATATCACCATTTATAAGGTGTCTTCGGTAAGGGGAAAATCATGGCCGAACACCTAATTAGCTTCCCTCAAAATTATAACTTTGATCCTTCTTGGTTTATTATGACATTTAATAAAGTGTTGCTACAATGTTTCACATGATTTGCTTATGGGTGTACTCAAAACAGGTTCATCATTAACTTAACATAATCTATTTCAATCATGATACATACAAAGAGTGTTGGTGCAAGCACACAATCATAAAGCAAAATTGCTAGTTGTGACAAGTTCAGGTTGTCATCCACCTAAATATCCTATAGAGGCACCACTGTTGAATCGTCTACCAGGCACTTCTGTAGCTGGGTGACGTGAAAGGTGTTGTGAATCTGGCTAAACTCGGCTGGCAGATCCATCCTATACACCACCTTGCCCACCCGGGCTCCAACCCTGAAAGGCCCAATATACTTGGGGCCCAACTTGCCCCGCTTCCTGAACTGGATGGCACCTTTCCAAGGTGACACCTTCATGATGACCATATCTCTGAGATTGAACTCCAGGTCTAAACGGCGCTTGTCGACACAACTTTTCTAACGACTCTGAGCAGTTTGAAGCCCTGCTGGATCCTCTCGGTCGTCATGAGTACCACTTCGGTACTCCCCACAACCCTCTTTCCAACCTCACCCCATCATATTAGGGTTTTGTACTTCCTCCCGTATAGCAACACGAAGGGAGGATAGTCAATACTCATGTGGTAACATTTATTGTAGGAAAATTCAGCCGAGGGAAGGTAGGTACCCCAGCTACCACCAAAGTCCAAAATGCATGCACGCATCACATACTCCAAAGTCTGGATGGTCCGCTCGCTCTGACCATCCGTCTTTGGGGTGAAAAGTTGTGCTGAAGTGTAGATGATTACCCAACTTGTTGTGAAACTTCTTCTAGAATCTAAAAGTCAACCGCACGTCTCTATAAGAAATCACGGATACTGGCACTCTGTATCGAGCTACTACCTCTCGAATTAGATGTCGGCCATCTTCTCGGCTGAAATGCTCTCCTGGATCGGAATGAAATGGGCTCTCTTGGTCAATCGATCCATGATGACCCAAATCGAATCCACTCTCCATGCGGTCCTGGGAAGTTTCGTGATGAAATCCATAGTAATATCTTCCCATTTCCACATAGGGATATCCGACGGCTGCGTCTTGTCGTGATGCCTCTGGTGCTCTGCCTTGACCTTCTTGCGGGTCAGGCATCTCTCGACATACCATGCTACATCCCGCTTCATGTAGGGCCACCAATAGTCAGGACACAGATCTCTATAAATCTTTGTCGCCCCAGGATGGATAGAAAACCTAGATTTGTGGGCCTTATCCATCAAAATTTGTCGTACTCTGCCCCAATACGGAAACCTAACCCTCCCATGCAGGTTCAACAGCCCGTGGCTGTCATAGTCAAATGAGGCCACCTAGCATATGATGTGCTCCCATTTCTAGTGCTCCTCCTTCAAACCCTCGACTTGCGCCTCTCGGATATGCTCCAACAATGGAGTAACTATTGTCATCCTCAAGCAACCGTCTCTGATTGGAGCTGCCTTGTGACTAAGCACATCGGCCACAACATTGGCCTTCTCCAGATGGTAGAGGATCTCACAATTATAATCCTTTACCACATCTAGCCACCAATGTTGCCTCATGTTCAACTTTGGTTGATCCATGAGGAACCTCAAACTCTTGTGGTCCATATATATGGTACATTGGATACCATAGAGGTAGTTTTTCCAAATCTTGAGGGCGAACACAACCTCCCCCAACTCCAAATTGTGTGTTGGGTAGTTCACCTCGTGAGGCTTCAGCTGCCTCGAGGCGTAGGTGATGACATGCCCTCTTTGCATCAATACCGCGCCAAAACCTGAAAATGGACGTATCACAGTATACCACAAAATCCACCATGCCCTCTATCAGGGTTAGGATCAGCGTCTCGCATAGACTCTTTCTCAATGTCTCGAACACTGCAAGCTGCTCAGGCCCCCAGCAGAAGATCACTACTTTCTTCATTAACCGAGTCAATGGTACGACTATCATGGAGAAGTCCTGAATAAATCTCTGAT